AATAAACTACAAGTTCTCCACTGCAAAAGCCTAGAGAACAAGAAAATCCAAGACCAGAACTACTACAAAAAGAAAGAAACAGAACAAACCAACAAACCAACAAAACCAAAAGAACTAAAGCATCAAGATCCCTGGAGCAATGAGAACTCTAGCCACTGCTTGTGAGCAGTCTTGACCAGTTGCTGAGCTGAGAGAATGGTGTTTTGAAACAGCCAAAGATTGCGAGCCTTCCAAAGCCACCATAGCATATAGGTGGTTAATTGGATCCTGGATTCAGCCACCTCAGTTTTAGGCAATGAGCATAATTAGGACCACCACCCTCTGAAGGAGGAAGAGTAAGGCTGCAGACCCTCCCAATTCACTGGGGCTAAATTCCAGACCAAGGAAGCTTTAGAGCAGTAAAACAGAACATGTTCAATGGTTTCTATCTCATTACCACAGGTTTTGCAAATAGCATCAAGTCTTAAACCTTTCTTAAGCAAGTTGAGTTTCACAGGTAAAGAGCCAGTTATACATTTCCAGATAAAGTGCCTTATCTTACCCTCCACTTTCAGTTTCCAACATCTGTTAAGAAAATGACTTTGATTCTTAGAGAGGGAGCTGCAACCAGGGATATCAAGAGCCAGAAGTTTTTGCTTATTCAGAAAAGCATAGGTACTTGCAACAGTGAATCTGCCATTTTTATTCAAAGACCAGAGCATTCTATCATCCATACCTGGTTTAAGAGAATTGATTTTCAGAATAGCTTGGCAGTCAGTATCATTGAACAACTGAGAAACTAACCATTGATTCCAACCATTCCCATCAGAGTTGAGAAGCTCACTAACCCAAACAATATGTCCTCTAGCAAGATCAAGCAGGGAAGGCTTAGGAGTTCTGAGGGAGGGCACCCAGTTTATATCATCAATTCTTGTAGAACACCCATTTCTGATTTCCACAGAAAATCCTTTGGCAAAAACAGGAACAACAGAAAGCCAATTGGACCAAAGCCAAGAGCAGTTACTTGATTTCACAGCATCAAAGATTGAGCAGTTTGGAAAATATCTGTCTTTTAAAACTCTGCTAACAAGAAGAGTGGGCTGTGAAATAATCCTCCATAATTGCTTGCAAATTAAAGCTTTGTTAAAATTTCTCAAGTCCAGAAATCCCATACCCCCATCAGATTTAGGCAAAGATAAGATAGACCATGATTTCCAATGAATGCCAGAATCCTGGTTTTCACCTTTACTCCACCAGAAGTTAGAACAGCATTTAGAAATTTCAGAGCAGATCCCTACTGGTAATACAAAGCAGGACATAGAAAATAAGGGAAGAGCTTGCAAAACAGCTTTAATAAGAACCTCCTTACCAGCAGGGGATAACAGTCTAGCCTTCCAACTCAGCAATTTAGCTTTCACAGAGTCCAACACATATTGGAATGCCTCCTTCTTTGATCTGCCAATTCCCAAGGGCAATCCCAAATATCTAGTTGATTTATGAGCTGTGATGCCTTGAAGTGCTGCACCAATTCTATTTTGCAAAATGGCAGGGGTGTTCTTACTGTAAAAGATAGCTGATTTATTGATGTTAATTATTAGATAATCAACACGCTAATCTCTTCAAAATTACAAAAATTATTTTGTATTTTTTATTACTGACAGTTGATCATATAATGTGTTGACCGTATAATGTGATTAGATGTTATTATTGTGATTACATTTACATTTTTTTTTTTGAAAAATAAACTCATTTGAAATTCCTAAATAAATAATAAATATTTCATAAAAAAAAATGCAAACCAAAATATACATTACATCCAATTTAATAAATGCAATTTAGGAAAATAAATGTTCCAACTCCTTTAATTGTAAGTTTCACCTGCAAAAAAGTGGAAAAAAAAATCACTAGTCATTATATGGATATAAATAACTCACAGTACTTTATTTATATCGGCAAAAATGCACATGGTCGAATACTAGTTTTCTTAAAAAGTACTCGTATAGTACACGGGTATTGTATGGTTAATAAATAAATGAGATCAAATGAGAATGATAGACAAGGATTCAATAAAAAATGCTCTCCGCCCCCAAATTCTCTGCTAAACCTAATCCTCCGCCGCCGCCTTAAATTGTCTGCTCCTCCTTCCTCGGTGACGTCAGAGCATGGCCAGCGGTCGTCCCCGACCTCTCGCCCGTCCTGGATGTCGTGCGCCTCGTGGTTGCTGCTTTTCTGACGATGTCGTCCGCCTGCGTATCGGAGGTTCAAGGTGCGTCCCCTTAGCTCGAAGTCCGGTTTTCGATGGGTGTTTCCCTCCCTGTAGCCGGCGGACTCTTGATTGGCAGAGGTATGCTCTCTTTTTCTCGGATATCGTTTGTGGATGACAGAGGTTTGCCCGACTGGCGCTTCCGCTTTCTCCGGCGAGCCTCCCGGTGGGGTGTTGGTAGTTCATCGTTGGGTCTCTGCAGTGATGTCCGGTGGTGTGTGGCTTTGAGGATTGGGCGAGGCTCCGGCTGCCGCTGTCTTCCGGTAGCGGTGGACGGGGTTGAGATACCGTGCCACTTTCAGCCCCCCTCTTGTTCGACTAGTGGTGTTAGGCGGCGAAGGACCGGGATCCTAGTTCCATTGTGCTCGACTAGTAGTCTTAGTCGGGTTCGGGTGGAGCTAGCTGGGATTGGTCGGTTTTTCTAGGTTGGAGATGGGTCGATTCTGGGAATGCTTCAGGTTCGGTTTCGGCTGCTGTATAGGCGCTTGCGCAGTTTCGGTAGCGGTTCCTCGGGCAGGGACTCCTTCCTGTGTCGATTGTTCACTGTTGTTTCAGGCCTGTTCGTATGCCGGGGAAGGGCTATTATTATCTGTTTTTAGCCTTCGTTGTTTTTTGTTTTTGCTGTTTTTGCTTGAGTCTGTTCTAGTTTAGTGTTTTTGGTTTGGGCTCTTTGCCTGAGTGTTTTATGTTTTGTCTTTTTGGTATGGGCCGTTGGCCCCTGTGTTGATTACCCCGTGGGGGCCGATCCTATTCTCCTGTGGGGAACGATTCTAGTTGTTGGTAGTTTGTTGAGTCTGTTTGTTTCTAGCTTGGCTAGTTGAGGTTCTAGGGGGTCCTTGGACATGTCCTCTCAGTATGTAGTTGCACATTTGTGCCCTTTGATTATAATATATCTATAATTTCGGACAAAAAAAAATAAAAATGAGAATGATAAATAGCTAAAGAAATAAGAAAATATGTATCACTGATCCCAGTATATCTACGTTTGTGATCAAGTCAAATTTTTTTATGTGTTAGTCAATCATTAGTGGCAATTTTGTTAATAAATATACTTATCATGGTCAAATCTAACACTTGACCACTAAGTAAGGGTAAATCTGACATTACACAATTGTAGGCCCGCCAATATCTCCACCAATCTTACCACTCCCTCACATATAAACACACCACCAAACACACTCCTCTCTCTCTCTCTCACACACACACACACACACACA